CTATGAATTAGTACTTTTCCCCATTTTTGGAAGAGGCCTTCTGAGCTTTACTGAATGTATTAGCTTTATGTTTCTCCCTTATTTAGACAATTAGTTGAGGATAAAACTGAGGGCTTTGCGGCTTTCTGCATCATTTTTAATAATCATAAAATTCAGAACCACTTATTCGGCTCTACTGTTGCAGATGCTAAGATAATGCTGTGTTGCTCTTAAGTTATAATGCATAATGAAAGCTGAGCGGTGCTAGAACGACGTCACACAATAGTCAAAACACCAATGTCTATGACAGCCTGAAAAGTAATGTTACACAATGTCATTTTTTGAAATTTCTTTTTCTACTTAATCAGTCGGATTGTTGTGTGCCTTTGTTATTAATGTATTTCTCATTTATCTCTTAGGTTTACAAAAGATACTGCCCGGTTCAAGGATGAATTAGATATTATGAAGTTCATTTGCAAAGATTTTTGGACAACTGTATTCAAAAAACAGATAGATAATCTCAGGACTAATCATCAGGTACTAAGGCTGTAGGATAAGATTTAACTTACAAAATTAGTAACACTGTTTTGTGGTGTTAGTGCATTTTTGCTTTGTCTTAGTCTCAAGTTAATAGGAAACCAAGAATGTTCTGTATATGTTTTCTTTAAAAGTAGTGATTTTTGTTGAGGTTCATTTTAGCATATAGTTTCAGAATACAGTTCATTAATGCTCGTTTATAATATTTTATAGTCACCCTGTTTAAAAAGACTAAATGTTGACTAAACATTGTAGAGTTAAACAACCTGAAGTGCACAGGTGATCAGCACTTGCATAGGAACTTTTTTTTGTGTATCTCGCAATATGTTTTTGTAGAAAACTAACTGAGAAAGTGATGTTGCTATCTTGACACCTGTTTAAATAGAATGGCTTTCTTGAAGTCACTTTTGATTTTGAAGAATATTTAGAGTTTTCAGCAGATGAAATGCTTAGTTGCACTCTACTGAACACGCTGGTATGTGAGACAGCTGAAAATCTTCCCTTCAGATTTGCATCTTGGTGATATTGCATTCTATCTGTGACCTTTACCATATCAACAGCCACGGTTCCTAAGGCACGATCAAAATAATTTAAGGAGTTATTTTACTAGAGTCACAAGTGCTTCTTTTAATAACTTGGTTTTCTTAGGTACCAAAGTAGGGACAAGAGAATTTTTACAAGGATTGTGACAAATAAATTAGATTTGATTTTTTTCCAGGGGACTGTTTATCAAGCAATAACTTTAACAAATAATAATAAAGTTAGTTTTCTTGTTATTGAAAAAAAATGATTTCTATAACAGGTAGCCTAAATCTCAATTGTATACGCAGCCTGAATTTCATTTGAAGGATTATGAAGTTTTAAAATAGTGTCGTCATTGCCAAAAACAAAAAATTCAGGTTAAAATTAAGCTATGCTGTCTTCATACTTCATTTATTAAAATACATATTATCATGTGCCGTAAAATGTTAATGTTGAAAGCATTAGACTTTTTTTAAATTTGATTGTCTTCTGGGTGGTGTTGCCCATATCTTCTGTTAAAGAATGTTATCTTCTGAACTTGAGAATAATAATAGTTAATTGCATACTCGAATTAAGATTAAAATCTGAATGTCAGCATGTACTTTATAGTTTAACAAAGACAGTCTGTCTGATCCTGAACTATTGTTTCTGAGCACTGAGAAGGCTCTTCCAAAAAAAATGTAAATAAAGGTTTTTAGGATTAACTGACATAGGGTCATATTTACGGGTCTTTTACGGTAAATTTGCAATTTAAGTATCCCTTCTTTTGTTTGGTATTTCATATAAGTAAACACTATGACTTAGATTTAGATCACATTGTGCCTTAATTTAACATTTTTTTTTCAACTTGAAAACAGTTATATTGTATCTACAGATAAACTAAACCCTTCCCACAGAACGTTGATTAACTGTTACTGGATATGCTACTAAAAAGTTTTGTTTTTAATAGGGTATTTATGTACTTCAAGACAATAAATTTCGGCTCTTGACACAAATGTCTGCAGGAAAGCAGTATTTAGAACATGCACCAAAGGTACCCTTCATATTTATCCTGATGAACTACCAATTTCATTTGCATTATCATGGTCTATTGATATTAACTTTAAATTCTGGAGTTGAATGGATACAAACTCTCCAAAAAGGCAACTAAAATTTAGTCTCCAACAACAGTGGTTTTAAAAATATAGCTTATTTCAGGACAGCGGATTTGATGTATGACTCAAAAAACAACTGTACCTTTGAAACTTGCTGGTGTCATGTTTGAGTTACTCAGTGGTAGGACCTGGTCTGACTGCAAGTGGAAAATAGCTGAGCTGATGTTCGTACTTTTATGTGCAGTTAAGGAAGAAAATTCTGTCGCTATCACAAATTCGTTCTCTTTGGAAAGCACATACTTTCAGATTACTTCCTCAAAATCTCCGAGAGAAATTTGGCAGAACAAGCTTTTAAGATGGTATGAGCATTCAAAGAGATCTTCCACCAGTTAAAAATAGTTTTATTTATGAGTTATGCTGAATTAGCATAATAGTTTAGTAAAGTAAAATCAATGTATCTGCAGAACCTCTGATCGGGGTGTTGGTTGAAGTGGATATAGGAAATGGGGCACTCGGTTTTATTTTTTATTTTTTTAATTCTTGCTCTGTTAGATGTAGTCATCACAGTTGCAGGCCGTTATCCTTGGGGATTTTTTTTTTGATATGACGAGAGATATTTTTTTCTGTTTTGCACCACATTTTGTAAATAATCTGCAGATCTTTAGTTCTTGTATTCTAAGGAGATGTGACCTATGTAGTAATTCAGTCTGGGACTGTTTCCTTCAGTGACTTTAATACCCATTGCTAATTTCAGTCAAATTTTAGGGATAATTGTCTTAAGTATACTAACTTCCTACTACTCTAATGAAAATAGATAGAAGGAAAAGACTCAAGATAGCACCTCTACCGAGGGAAATCTGCATCGTGAGCTCCACTGTACTAAATATCACAGCTTCTCTCTATGAGAGATGCTTTTAATCCCTTAAGTGTTGGGAAAGCTTGGTCAGAATTTAAACCTTGATAGATATGGGGCATCCAGGCATGGCACATGACCAAAAATCCCCCATATTTCACAATTTCTGCTAGTCATTCAACTATTTGTTTTGAAGAGCGTAACCTCAATTTTGAGCAAATAATTGGAGTCCAGCTAATGCTTCTCAAATTTGAAGTTACTCCCCAAGTTTTATACTGTATAGGTGTTAAGCATTGCTTTTAAGCACTTAGTCTCAAACTTTTGCAACAAGCTTGACCCTTGAGATTTATTTAAAGTGTAACTTTGTTTAGTATCTAGCATTTACCTGTGGACTAATCAGAGGCGGCCTATCGAATTTGGGAATAAAGAGCATTGTAACAGCTGAAGTTTCAACAATGCCTGCATGTAAGTAGTCCTCAGAGTATTCAGTTGTTAGCTCACTTTTTCCTCGCCTGCTTCATCACTATGTAAGCATTCATCAAAGGGGGATGAGTTTGAAGTTTTTGGTCCAAAGGGCCCTATGTGAACTTCAGGACATAGCTTGACAGTAAACGCTTTGCTGTTGCTGTTGAGAAAATACTTGTATAGGGGGAACCTCCATGATACTAAGTGTAAAGCAAAACTAAAATGTTGTATTTACATTTGAAAGCTTCAGATACGCAAGTACGTACAAGTAGGAGGCTACTTGCACAAGTGAAGACTAAAAACAACTAGGTATGCAACTAGGTGAAGTCCATCGTAACTTCCCAAATTGGTTAAGATGGATTTAACAATTTCCACAGGCTTTGCACAAATTTGAAATTAATTGATCCATGTCCCACATTAAAACAGTTTTGTCAACAGCAAAAAAAAGCTGTTCAGTTGAAGTCAAATGTTAACATTTAAATTTATGGAATGTATAGATTTTTCAGTATTAAACCATAAGACAGGTATGTTCCTTGTGTTTTTTTTTTTTAACAAAACAATTCAAAGGAAATAATTACTTTGAAAAATAATTTTAACCCTGATTCTTTATTTGACTTTGCTTTTTCTTTGCAGGTAAATTTCAGGTGATGATACAGAAGATGTAGAACACTCTCAAATCTGGGTATCTACCTTAATCTTTTGTATGTGTGGACTCAGTATCTGGGTTTTACTTTTTTTGTGTAGCTTGTAAGTAAGTTATTTGCAGCAACTTGCAGCAATTTGCAGCAAAACTCCTACATTGTATATAATAAATGTCAGTCAAAATAACACTATTCTCACTTCTTGGTATGAAATTAATTCTATACCAAGGTAATAATGTCCATTACAATAAGAACTCTCAGCTCAAAGATTTCAACAAAAGATTTGAATTGCCAAAATAGCACATATGGAAGACGAGAGGAACATTTTTCAGAATTGTGAAAAGAGTCACCAACACTAAATTGGAGTAAAAAACTAATGTCTTTTGTAGCACCTAAAATGAAAGCAAAACTGCTAACTTTCCCTACTTGCTCCAAACTGTAAGGCAGCAATTGCTTTGCATTATTCTGAAGAAGCGATCATCACAGGAACCAACAGCTTTCACTTACGGTGTTCAGTGGAGCTTAGTTCCTCGGCTCTGGGAATGATACCAGGCAGTAGAAAAGAGAAAGCTTTTCTGTATAGTTAAACAGTATCTCCTTCCTCCTTAAAACTCATAGCTGTTATTTTTGCTTCTAGAAGAATTTTCCAGCTAAGGTCATCTGCTACTGGACAAAGAAGGAAATTTGTTTTAGCTTGTTACACTTAATGTCACTATTAGCATAATTGTTTTTAATTGCCTAGCTACAACTCACTTCTGTAACGAGTATTACATGAGCCGGAAGATGGTTAGGCCTGCAAGGAGCTGGAAAGGCATCACAAAGGCTCTGAGGACATTAGGGTTTGCTAAATTGCAAGATTTGCATAACAATACATATCTTGCTCTAGATAAGCATAAGAACATCTTGTTTAAACTACTTTTAATGAATTTGGCTTGAGACGTTTCTGTTGACAAGTTCAGGCTTTATACTTCTGAAATGAATCATGATAGAAACTGAGGGTATTACTGAGTCTTACTGGCCTTACTCGGAAGCGTAAGAATGCCTTGTCGTGTGGTAGCGATTCCGTTCGGTGCTATTTTAAGAACAGCAAATACAGTCTAAATAGAAAAACTAACAGGTTAGAAGAGCACCTTTGTCTGTTGTAACTGTCTTCTGTTTGCGTGGCGGGCAAGAACAGCAGAAACTATTCTTCCCTAAGCTCTAGGGCGGTTGGAAGCCTGTAATAGGTCGGTCCTTTTCTAGATGGCTGTTACAGCCTGGCAAGCTAGAGCTTATAAATGTGATAACCAGGGGTTTATTATACTTGAGCTTAAGATGTGACCAAGTTCTGATCTTTTCAGGTACTGTTAATGCTAGTTCAGATTAGTTCTAGCTGATAAAGTTAACAGTTTTGGGAAGCATCTAGAACAGAACTCAAAAAGAGCAGAATGCTATCCCACCATATACAGAGAGAAAAATGGTGAAAAACTGTGGTATAGTACTCAGTGAGGATCCAGCTGTTCCACAGATTCAAATCCTTGGCTCTTAGAGTGGTACAAAGCTTACAGTAAAGTTATGTTTCGTCTATCTATAGATATGGATTACAGTTCTTAAATCAAAAATATGCATGATTCAGACTTATCTGAAATTGTAGTTAGATAATTGGCTTATATTCTTCCTGAGTGCATTTTATGGGTTCTTGTGTTGCCACCGCGTTCTGCTTTTACCATGCTAGAAATGCTGCTGAAGAGACTAGAGATAACTTGCACTGTATGTCAAATAGATGCATGATTTGATGGCCTACCTTAAACAGCTGCAACGTACGACGGACATTCAGTTAACGACAAGACTGAATTGTCATTGTCATTTGCATCTCTCTAGAATTAAAACTCAAGCAGGTATTGTAATTCAGTCTCATTTTGCACTTGACTGTTAAGGCTATTATTCCAGATGCAAAAGTGCCAGCAGCTTTAAGACACTGTAAAGGTTTATTGGTACTGATTGTACTTTAAAGAAAAAATGTTTTTTGAACAATAGTGAAGGACTTAATTAAAGCTTACTACCTGTTTACTAGGAAAATACGGTATGTCAGTTTGGTGTATCAGCAGAATTTTTTGTTCCTTTAGCTTTTTAATTGTTGAATATAATGACAACCATAGGAACCACAGAGCATATGCTGGTATTAGCTTTATCCAACCGCTTCCTTTTATGTTTTACTGAATTGTTTCAGTAACTCAGTAGCTACAGCTGAACTGCTTAACGGTGCTTACACTCAGAAACTGAAGCTGAAAAAACATTGTTGTGTAGTTCTCTATAAGGCAGCTGTAAAATACTATGAATAATCAGAAAAATCAAATGTTTAAGAACTCTTTAAAATACTTTTTATTGTTTAAAAAAAGCCCTCAACAGCTGAGTCTTAAAGAACAATCACTTGTGATTTAAGTTCACTTTAAACTTAGATTAAAAGTCCTTGCCTGATGGCACTGCCCATAGGATTACTCAGATTGTAGAAATTTCTAACAAAGAGTGTAGTCTACAGAGATGGTAGCTGGAGAGATGACAGCAGACACTTTGACCATTTTCACATCATGATGGTGTTGGAGAGACTGGTAATCTCTTGCTAAGGATCTGCTTAAAATCAGTTTATTCATGACTGTCCCAATGCATTATCATGAGGGTGTTCTGAAGGGGTTGTGTAGTACTTCAGGTCTGAACTGTGCAGCATCTTGCTGTTATCCCTGATAATGCTGTTCGTACTATGGCAACACAAAACATCTGGCATTCTCAAAACAATCTAGGAGGGCTCATCAGCCAAATCACGTTGATCGAAGTACCTAGTGGAGAGAAGTGGAATACAGTAAGAACCCTCTAATGCAGTATTCTCTTTACTTTCCCTTGAGTTGTCAGTATACTTCCTTTCAAGCTCTTATTTTAGAGGATTTCTTTCATACTTATAACTATAGTTCAGGGGGCTCATCTGAGGAAATTGATGAGTTTAGTTTACTCTTAGGTTTATCTTAAGTCCTTTTAGCTTAGTACATTTGATATGTTAAAAATGAGGAAGTACTCTGGGTTGAGTTCTAAAAGAATCTAGGCTAGGACAAGGCTAATCATACTTTTATTCTGAATATCCTTTATCGTTGTAGATATAATTTGCATTACCTGCTAACTAAGCAGATCATCAAGTTCAAAGCTGATACTTGCTCTTCGTTCTTGTTCTCCTGAAAAAGAAGCATCACAACAGGTCTCATGCTACTTGTGTACAAAAGAAAAAAATACCTAGTTATACTGCTTGTGGAATAAGCAGCACCCTTCACTCTTAGCAGATTTAGTACACGCAAAATTACTTACCAGCACTTAAGGAACTGAAAAATAATTCTCCTAATAATTTGCTAAGTTGAACAAATCCTCTGCACAATGATAAATGAAACCTTACCTCTAGTACTCTGACTTCAGAGCATCGCCTTGCCAGTTGTCGAATAAGAGAATGTGCTTCAGGTAGCAAAGGTTTTTCAAGGCATGCCAACAGTGCATAAAGCCATCTACCCTGTGTGGATTTAAATAACATTTTTAATTATGGGTATTTCCTTGAAGCTTCATACAGTTCTTGTTGTACAGAGCAGGACTGCAGAATGTAGATCTCAAAACTAAAATTGCATTTAAGTACTACTGTCAGAATTGAAAGATTTACAAGCCAAATTAGGTACTGCTTACTTGAATTTTGTGTCTCTAGATAAGCTTCTTGGGAGAAGCACTTTTGGATTTCTTAGTATTATTGTTTGGAATGCTGGCCAAGCTGCAAATTAATACAGCTTCCACTGTTAAAGTCAGCACAAAGGATTACTTAGCAATATCAAACAGACTGTTACTTAGCCATTAATTTTTAACTGCATGAACTGTGGAAAGCCATTCCTAAAGACAGAATGTATTAAGTCAGATGTTTGTGCAGTTCACGCTGTCAGACCAGCTTTAAGTTAGTTCTGCACCACTGTGAAAACATGTCTTTTGGCTTCCTACTTCACTGAAGTCTATGGCATTCTTTACAAACCTAACTTTTGCTACCGGTGTAACTTACAAAGTTATTTACAATGTCTAATGCTTGTACTGGGTTCCATTACAGGAATAAACTAAGATTCAATATGCACATCTTCTACAGTCACTAAAAAATCTGTCCTATAGAAAAGGACAGACTAGGAAAGGTCTTTAAATGACTCAAAAATAGTGCAACTTGGTTTAGTATTATGTAAGTAGTCTTGTATTACTTGTGTTACTCTTGAGGTACTGAATAAAAATGCATCTACCGTGGTCTTTTGCAGATAGACAGCACTGCACAGCTACTTAGGCTAGTTATCGCAAAACTCCATGCTAATGCACCCCATCAATCAGAATTTATTAGACCATACCTGTTACCACACTAACACAGCTAAGGTCTCTGGTCAGTACTGCACATGGAAAGATTGAACATGTCTCTGCCTGCAGATTACCATGCATCTCCGAACCAAGAGGGAGATGTCAGCATACATAGCCTGCAGTACCCTGACAGCTTAAACTGGTCTGAACCAAAGCTTCTTCATTTTGATACTCATCTCTCCCGAGCACTGGTGCTCATCTAACCTTGCAGATTAAGTTAGTGTGGGAAGCAACAGGAACACGGATTTTTAAGAGTAAGTAGTAGATCTGTATTTGTTGCATTTGTAATTAACCTTCCAAAAAGTTCTGTGAATGCTCTTTCTAGTATCTAATCAAGTTTTGAAAGTGACTGAATTACAGTACATGCATTTAGAAAACTCTAAATAGAATCTAAAATAATTTCACAGAATATGATAGACAATTTATCCCTTGCCTAATGTGTTCGTGTGCAAGTAGTTAGACTAAATTGAGAATTACCAGTTCTGGAGTAAATTTTTTCTCTCCAAACCAGTTTATCAGGTATTCCAAGACACTGGTTACTGTTGCCTTCAAAAGAGGAAGAGAAAGAGACTATGCAATACCCGCAAAGACTTGCTCTGTTGTCCTTCTATCTAAATGATTTTATTATATAAAAAGTAAATGCGATTTTTAAACATACACGTTATATATTTCCACTCCACTGTGATTCTATATGGTATTTATTCCAGGTTGAAGTTAGATATAAGGGCACATTAAGTGTCAAAACAGCAGTTCCTGGGAAGAACTTTATATAAAATGAAGTGATTTTTCTGTGTTAACAAAAACTTATGGCTAGATAGCTACAGATTGGGAAAGAGAACTATCAGGTTGACCGTTTATGTATAAAGATAACTAGTGGGAAACATAATAGTGAAGAAAAGGTAAATCTGGTTTGTCTATTCTTGCAACGTATGTAAAAGTTCATGATCAAAACGAAGGACTGCACTTAAAACGCCAAAGG